TCACTGCATCGGCAATGCCAACCAAGTGTGAGCATGAGTTTCGGCTTGTGCCGCATGGGCTTGAAAAGCCGATCGAGTTTCCGACTGAGGTCGGTAAATATCATAAAAAATGCGAAGAAAAGATGCGTATGGAGGAGCATATTCGACAGCACAGTCAGATTTTATTGAGCTATTGAATGCGATCAACATACGGAAACATGACGGAGAGAGCGTGGTCGAATGCAAAAGATTTAAAATTAGTAGATATGATAAAATTGAAAAAAGATCTTCGTTTTTCAATTGTTTTCTTTGTTTCTTGCAATTACTATAAATGCTGCTGCAGCCATTATCGTTTCATCGCCACCGAAAATTTTATTGTATTGACGAGGTAGATGTCAATTCACTACGCTGCCGATGAAATGTATATACCTATCACAAATAGCAACAAAGCCGATCGGCAAATGCCGACGCTATGGGGACGCAGCTTTAGATAACGCGAGCACAGTCTGTGTAGGAATATACATTGCGAGAATATAGAAGCGGTTAAATAATTTTGCACCCATCCTACTTTCGGGTCATGATGTGTGTTGCGTCGTGCGCTTCGAACAAGCGGTATGTTCGAGAGTGGTGGCGCAGGATTGTCGCTGGTTCGTGGTGCGGGTTGTTTGTTGGTATGAAGTCGTGGTGTGGTGAGGTTGCACGTATTTTATTATGTTAAAAGAAAAAGACTTTATTTTGAAGAGTGGTAGTTTATGTGCGCCGCGTTGGTGCGCTTATTTATAAAAAGGTTTAAGGTGGTGGTCTCCGCCAATGGGAACGGGTCTACCCCCTTGGACGATCCTCCCTGGCCGGCGAGCATGCCGCCTACCCTGGAATTTCCAAGTTGGCAGGGTGGCGGTATGTCGCGATGGCGGGGGAGTGAGGCCCAAGGGGTAGCCCGCACGTAACGGGACTTTGGGCGGTTAGGGAGACGCGAAAGGTTTTATGACATGTCTATGTCTATTGAATGTTCACGAGTGGGCACCGGGAAGGTATATGGCCCGCAGAAAATTTATTTTTCTGCAGCCATAAAACGCTTCCTGGGCTTCGTGGCCAATTTGAAAGAAAAATTAATTAACGCGAAGAAAAAAAAGGGGCGCATTCAAAAATAGCGTAAACAGGCGTCCATGTCATAAACCCAATCCCTAACAATGTGTTAGACAAGGATAGAATATAAAAGGCCGAAGGATACCCGAAACAAAGGAAAACCACGTGTGGGACAGGACAGAGTTCAGGCCCCGCAGACAGTTTTATGACAGGGCCTTGTGATAATACCCAGAGCCCAGTTATTCGGTAACGTCGGTAGAGACTCCGAAAAACCGACAGAGGAGGTCACTTATTGTCTGAACGTACGATAGAGCAGACGCGAAGAGAATTTTAACCTTGATATTAATAGACATGTCAGAAATACTCTGAGCCGAAGTAGGGCAGGCGTAAAATTAATTAAACGTTTCTACGTTCTCGCAACAGTGTATTTTATAAAAAGACTATATCCACGTTGTTTGAGCGTTGTTCGCAACAAGTACGCGTTCGACAGACCTGCGAAGAGAGAAGAGTCAGGACACGTCGCACAGTGGTGCCATTTCACGAAAAGTTGGCCAAAATTCAATTTTCGAAGTATACAGCAGCTTTTTGCTACTATACCACATTTGTTGTATATACATCAGTGTATCTAATGCCGCTTGAATTGTTTAAATATATTGATTGGTTACTGACATATAGGCCGTCAAAGTTGACGAATTTTTATGCACCGTAATGTCTTGAAAATTGGAGCATGTTTAATGTGTTAGGGAAAGTTTACCTTTAAAATATTCATATGTAAAACATTTTCTCATTAAAGTAGGTACTATAAACATAAACTTTCCACAAAAACAAAGTAAAATATCTTTGATTTTACCCTTGTAATTCTCTTCTCAATATATCAGAAATATTAGTCATGTTTTAATAAAACGGAAGGAAACTGAAAGTGTTAGTCATCGAAATTCGCGCAGTGACAAGTTTCTTGATATAAAGTTACATGTCAGGTACTATATCCAATTGAGAAAATTTGTGCCTTTTTAAGATATTTAAATTTAAAGTGTCAAGTAGGAGTATCTACAGTCTGTCCCACCAGAGCGTAATGACGATATCTGTACAAAGGTTAATAATATGTAAAAAATTTAATATGAAATAAAAAATTTATCTAAAACACTAATACAGTCTTATTTAATAATGGGTCCAAGATTATAACTTGAAAAAGTTTCGGCTTGGAGCGGTCAGTTCAATACAGGAAGACCACTTCCGAAAAATCTGCTGTTTCAATGATTTAAACGGAACTTGCACTCTAGTAGCCAATGATTGATTGTTGTATATGTTATATCGTGATATACGTAAAGGCAAATCGGAAAATAGTCAATTTTCGAAAAAATTAACTTAAAAACAACGTTTACACCAGTAATATTAGTCCCTTTATTTTGAATTTTGCATTTTTGATAAGATATTCGAATTTAGCAACTCCAGAAACATAAGAATGCCAATTTTTAGGAAAATCAAATGAACTTATGAATTATGGCCAGCTTTTCGTGAAATTGCACCACTGTGCGTCGTCCTGCCGATCCCTTGTTCATCTCCCCCGCGAAGCAGGCCCGGGTAAAACCCAAAGGGGCGAGTCACCCCCACCGTGTGTGCTGGGCCTGGCCTCAAGTGGCTTGCTTCACCGTCTTCAGGACGGATTTTCTCACAGACAATTGTCAACCCATACATACATTGAATAAAATAGCATCATAAGTTGAGAGTCTGGTATTATTCTTACAAATGCTCTAATTTACAATAATTATTACTAAAAGTGAAAATTATGTTGAAAATTAAAAAGCAGCTAATCTGATAATATTTCATTTCTGATGATTCTCTTGACGATACTTTCGGTCCTTTCTCCTATCGTGATTAGCTAACTATCAGCGAAGACATATTTAAGAGTAAATGCAATAGCCTTATTCTATAACTATTGGCGTCTATAACAACGAGACGCCACATTTATATCTCCCATTTCTAGACCCTAATAATATCTAGACAATATCTTTATATGCGGACTTAACAAACGAGCGTTTCTTTATCTTTGAAATGAGGCTAACAGGAATGCATTATCTTTAAACCAAATCGAAATATTACGGTTTAAGTGCTGACATGTTGGCTGATTTCGTCTGATTTTCCATGACTTTAACATTAAACAGTTTAAAAGCCGTTCGAAATAGAAAGCTAATATTTTACACCGTTTAGTTTCTTAAGAGTATCAACAAATCCTGCGGGTTTGTAAAGAATCGTGGACTATAACCGCAATTCTGTGCGATTTGACGTGGAATCGTCCGCACATGTGTGAAAAGTTATAGGTTCCGGGAATCTTTGAAAATTCCACGGACGTCCATTATGGAAAATGAATCGTAGGACTGTATGTCGTAACAAGTGATATAAAGGGAATACAGATATCGCGTTCAACGAATGCTTTATTGGTTTCTCGATCAATACAGCATATTCGTGACATCGGAAGAACCAAAGTGTTATCATAAAAAGTACCCAAGGGAGTGTTAAAAATGGGAAAGAGAAAAAACGATACATAGGAGCGATTACAAGCGGGTCGATAAGCTTGTGAAACGTATGTTTTCCTCGTGGATTACTTTACGCGACTTACACTTCGAAATGGTATAATAAAATTCAAGTTGAATTCGTCTTACCGTTTGCGAATGGCCGCGGAATTGTGTTTTCTTCTGCTGTCACGCTTATATACAACGATTATCCAACGAGAAAGGAAGGAAGTTGGCTCGCGTCCATTCCACGAAGTTGCCTTTTAACGGTTCCTTTGTTTCGTTGACGAAGTTTATTGTGTATCGAGAGATGTGTTGCATAGAAAACGATGGAAATTATTCATGGTACTGGCCGATTAAGCAGCAATTCGGCGAAACGGTGCAAATGGTGTAATTCTGTTGGTCGTAGTGATCGTTCGCGCGTTGAATGATGTAACTCATGGAGCAATTACTCGGCAACGCGATCCCAATGGTCGCGAACATAGCGATATTATTCTATATTTGCCAACGCGTAAGTTATTTAAGCTGATGGAAAAGGAAAAACATATAACAATGATATTCGTTTAGTTTCTAGCAGCCACGAGACAACGACGCAAGATCATGACAGAGATGAGAGAGTTTGCCACGATCGTAACGTATACCCGATCGGCGATCGATGGATCGCGCGAACGCGAACCAATTCCACGGTAGTTTTTTGTTTGTTAACAGGTCTGTCGGGCGCGCGACAACCTCCGTTATATCGGCGAACATGTGACTAAAGGAATAGATCAGGTATGCAACAACGTGTCGCTTTCTAAAGCATAATAACAGATGTAAACGAATGAATGTTTCCGCGGAATTACAGATCAAAGAGGATGTTGGAAAGGAACTGCGAGTTACCGATCGATTGACCATGCAAAGCGTTAAGTTGGGAACGGTGTTGGAACGATTCGTGAACCTCGAGGAAAATGTGATCGAGGTATCATTTTTTTGCTGTTTCATGCTTCGATAGATGTACCAATTATATTTCGGACGAATCGACAGCTGGTGCGCATGGATCGGAACAGGGAGAGCGTCAGGATCGAGACACCTATGAACGTGACCGAGGAGATCGAAAGGATCATCGCCTCGGCGGCTGGGAGGGAAAAACACGAGCAGAAAGGAGTTGCAAGTTCGAAGGAATCGCCGGCGGTACGAGAGGATATCAATCAGGAGGCTGCTGCTTCTCCGCGTATTCCCCTGTCAAAGTTTTTCGCGTGCAATCCGCGAGAAAGCGCAACCGCCGCCGTAGGGCAAAAAACTAAAATCGACGGTCGTGCGCGAGTAATCACGACGCCGGAGGTTCGTCTTCTCGGTGAATCGAAATAAATCTTAATTTATTCTTTCTAGTCGTTCACGGTTGCCGCACCGTGTGTTACTCATTGTCATTGTCCGAGGAGGCGGGGGGAGGGGAGGGGGGCGCGTCTTCCTTTAGCCGCGACTCTTTGGACGGTTCGACCAGGTCCCGGTTGTAGTCAGGTAGTGGGCGAATCTCTTAACGAATCCGTTCCAATCGACGCGATCTATCTCGTCGAGCTTTCGCTTGAAGAAGTTGTCGAACGCTGTACGGTCAATTTCGTCGATGTTTCGCTTGACGAATTGTTCGAACAACACTCTATCAGCAGGTGAGAGTTCGGCCAAGCTGTTGCTGTTGCTGCTGTAAACAAACCGAACTCCATGCATAACCGGTGTTCCACCGAGTGAGAAAGAAAAGAGCGACGCATGGCTGCTACTTACCTGACTGTCAATGAATCGTCCGATGATGCGTCTTCGACGAAGAGCGGGAAATCGATACCGCGACGAGCGTAACGAATCCGCGCTGATGGACGAATTCGTCGGTCACCGGCAGCGACATCCTTTATATCTTGACCTATAAAAGATAATTAGAGCAGGGGTGAGATAGGTTTGAACGAGAGATCGAGAAAAATGGAAGGAGAAGCAGGAAGAGGAAAAGAAGAAAAACAAGAACGTTGCAAGAATATGCTCAGTCTTTATTCGCTGTTCGTGCAGGCGATACAAACGGAGTAATTCTAAAAGGTCTCTACGTTAGGTCGAAAGGTTCAGGTTACGGTTTGCCATCCCTCAAACGCGGCGAATCCATCTCCCGATGGATCTCGGACAAGCTTCGCACCAGATTCCCTCCACCTATTTGATCCAAGTTCCTGCGAAAGTGATCCGCTGCAGCCATTACACCGTCCAGCCCTCGCACCAAATTTCCACCACCGATCTGGTCCAAGTTCCGTTCATTCAATCTTTCCGCGTCTACTTCACGAAGCAGATTTCCACCGCCTATCTGATCGAGATTCCGTTCCTCTTGCAGACCCCTTCGCAACAGGTTACCGCCACCGATTTGATCGAGGTTTCTCTCCAAACGATCGGCCATGTCCTCCTCGTACCGGAGATAGCGGTTCCCCTTCATTGGGGTCACCGATCC